CTGCACTTGCCAACAAGTCATGATTTATTTGAATTCTTCCATCACCGTGGTCATGTTCTTCTTTATATTCTGCACCCTAGGAAATTCTGATGTCATTGAATAGCGAGTCCCATCTAAAATTCTTCTATACATCCTACAAGATCTTGGTGATAGCTCTCAATTCTCCTTTTTTTTCTCATTTTTTATTATGGGCTCATTTGCTTTGCTCATACCAACCCAGAATACTAATGTGGTTTGGGTTTTAACTAAACTAAATTCTTCTTTATTTTTGGGAATGAAATTATTTTTCAGTTGGGTGTTTTCAGTCTGTTATTGATTTACATAGTATATTCTATATTTATTTTCCAATTTATTTTGGAAATGTTTGATTTTTGTGTATTAGAGTGGGTTGATTTTTGCAATAACATTTGCGGATGTATTGTTTGATGATATGTAGGTGAGTAAAATTACAAAAATGGTTAATGAAATGGGTCCTCCATGGTTGAAGTCAATGCTTAAAAGTGATTATTTCTTTCCGTGTCCGTCCCATTCGGATTCAAATAAAAGTGAATGCAATATGTATTGCTTGGATTGCATGGGAAATGCATTTTGTTCTTACTGTTTGATCCATCAACAGGGTCATCGCCTTGTTCAGGTGACACTTTTTGCATCGAATAATAGGTTATTCTTGAGCTTCGTTATAATAGAATTGTATTTTTGATTGGATCGTTCATGAAATTGTAATTAAGGAGATCTTCATATCTATTAAGAGCCATCTTCCACCGATGCCAATTTGATGAACTCCTATATCAATGGTTGTTTTCCAACAGAAACAAGAGCAAATATGAAGGCAGAAACCAAAAACAAGAGGATTTGGATGGGAAAATCAACTGTATTTCTGTAAATTGCATTGAAAATGTTCAACGATAGATGATTTGTATAGGTAATACAAGCTCTGACAAATAGTGATGCTGTTTATACTTTTTTTAAAAAAAATTTGCATTTTGTGACACTTTCAATAAAAAGTAACATGACGTGTTGTGCCACTTTTTTATTAAAATGTCACACACAATCATATTCTAATTGAGCAATATATCTTTGACTAAACTTTAATTTGTTTAGAAGAATTTCTTTTAGATGTTAATTTCTATCATTTTTGATTGACAAACATCAATTTTTTAATAAAAGTGATATCGTATGTCATTTTTTAATAAAAAAGTGACATTGAATGTTTGTCACTTTTTTATTTTCTATCACTTTTTTTTGAATTTGTGTCACTTTCTTTAATTTTTGTCACTTGTTTTGAGTTAGTCACTTTTTTTTTAATTTTGTTACTTTTTGAGTGTTTGTAACTTTTTATTTTCTGTCACTTTATTTAATCTATGTAACTTTTTTGAAATTTGTGTCACTTTTTTTGAATTCATCACTTTTTTGGATTTTTGTCACTTTTCAAAAATAGTTATCACTTTTTTTTAGTGTTTGTCAGCCACATTCTTGATTTATGTCGCTTTTTTTATTGACAAATATCAATTTTTAATAAAAGTGACATTGTATGTCGTTTTTAATAAAAAAAGTGACTTAACTTTTAGAAGTGACATTGTATCACTTTTTTAGATTTTGTCACTTTTTTTAGTTTTGTCACCTTTTAAGTTTTT